CTCTCTCTCTCTCTCTCTCTCTCTCTCGAATAATTAATTCAAGTAGCTAAATGTTATAATTAATTAATTCAAATAAATGTGATCTTACCGCACTATTTCATCTCTTTCTGATCTGAAGCGGGCAGAATGCTGAGCTAATGAGCTGTAGCTTCGCGTCAGGTGGTTCTTGCCTTCACGTCGTGCATTAAAATCATTCAATGTACAGCTAGCCGTGCATTATCCCTTATGCAGTCGCTCTTTAGCAGCAGTTTTTTACAGCAATATTTAAATGACACCCTGGTCATTCTTGGCGTACCCAAAAGGGTCCCACACTATCGACAGGCATTTCTCTGGTGGAAATAAAGGATCGCTGTTTGGTTCCTCTGTCATAGTTAATCTAATGTATGTAGTAGCCTCCGTGCCTCTGATAAACACAGCATTTTAAGCTGGTGCAACGCTATTGTAACTTCGTTTTCATTTTGCGTAAGCTGCAACAGTTCCGTTCCGTGTAACAGAAACACTCGGTTTAGCGGAACCTTTACGATTAATTAACCGTGACGTTTTAAAGCGCGGTTAATCGCGAAACCGGTTAATCGCTGCATCCCTACATGGATGTTGTAACCACTGGCCTCTTTTATCAAATTAAGTAACACATTATTAATGTATGTTTCTTTTAATGTTAATAAATGAAGCAAGATTTTATTTTAAATGTATATTATATGCTAAATGTTTTGACAAACTACATATTTGCTAGTAATTTATCGCAGATCTCATGAGGTATTCATTTAGGCGTGTTGAAAAAAAGTGAATGTGTTCACTAAATGTGTTTCTATCACACTTTATGTGCATGTCTTACCAAACAAACTTTTATCTACAAAATTATTATGAACATACACATTTTAGACATTTTAATTGCAGTTTGGTGATCGTAATAATTTAAATAATTAAATCATAATAATCATAAATAAGTAATAAATTGTAGATTTTTACATCCTTTAAGATGATGAAATTAAATCACGTTTTATAAATTTTTATAATTAATTACTTGCAATTTAGAACATATAGACAAAACACTCTTCAAATTACTGATCGATGGCAGATTTCTAAAGCGAATTGTTAGTGAATTCCTCAGTCACATGATATGTTGAATTTTTTGATGCACAGTTAAGAATTTATTCAGTAAATGTGTTTAAACTGTAGTTTATGCGCCTATCTTCTTGCTAAACCAACAGGTTGTACCTCAAGTGAGCATCAAGGTTAATATAGTTTTGAATTTTTAAATGTTTTATTTTAATATCGTTTTCAAATTTGCTATAAAATTCAGTTTAGTTTTTATTAGTTTCATTCATATTTTTGTTAGTTTTAGTTTAGTTTTTATTTTGTGAACACATTTTTATTTAGTTTTTATATAGTTTAGTTTCAGTTTTAGTTTCAGTTTTAATGAAAGTTTAGCAGAATTAACAGATCACTTCCAGAGCGCAGGCCAAACAAAGACATAATTTAACCTTAGTGAGGCAAACATATAGCGACACAAAATTAACGCATGCTGAGATTGATTAGATAGTAAAAGTATACAAATATACGCCACAGAAAGCATGATGCCTTTTTTACTAAATTAATTTACACAAGTTGCGCTTAATGTCATATCCAATGATGTGTGTTGAGATATTTAGTATGAAAATAAATGTAGCCTGATTTGGTTATATGTCTTTCCTTATTTAACCATAATCATGATATTGTAACTGTGGTGTCTTGCTCACTTTTCCGTTAACAGCCGTGCATCAATCAAAACTGGGACTAATGAAATTCAATAATAACGGCAATCGCATTTAACAGTAAAGGCTTATATTTGAATGTTCTTTTCATTTATAAAGAATTATAAGCGTGTGCATGATGTGATTTAGCCAATGCACATTTGCTCAAAAGCTTGGTGGCTGGAAGTAATCACAAGATGCAAAAGTTTTGTATTGTTTTCAGAAAGGATGCGCATTCTCATCTTTTTTTCTGTTAATTATCATGTTGCGCTGCATGTCTTTTTCATCAAAGCACCAACTTAGAATGCCTGTTGGTTTGATTGCTTGTGTTACATGATAAAATAAATAATCTTCCTTACCTGATGTAATGAAATCTATTACAGAGTTCGGGTCGATACTCGCGGTCTTTATGTCAAACGGTTCTGGTCTGGTACAGAATTAAATTAGTGCTGCTGTCAGATAATGGGTCGGGTGTTCTGTTAAGTACTGCTGGTGCACGTTTACCAAACAGGACCCGTGCAGGCTTTAAACTGCTTTGCGTCTCGATAACCCCATGTGCGTGATGCGCCATTACAGGTAGGCTATTTCCCTAAACCTCCATGCAGCTCGTATATTTTTCCGCCAAGGGGTGAGAACGTAATGAATACGAAAACGATTATTTATTTTTGATAATTATTATTTTATTTCAGTTAGTTTTTCAATACCTGTTGTTAGTTTCGTTTCGTTTTAGTTTTTCAAATATTTTGACGTTTTTATTTTATTTCAGTTTACGAAATTGTTTTTTCATCAATCGTTTTAGTCTTAGTTCTAGTTTTCGTTTACGAAAATAACCTTGGTGAGCATATGCTTTTTATTCACATTTCAGAAATTTGAATTGCACTTTGGTGTTTCCACCTATCAAATTTATGCAATTTGCATAAAAATATGCGGATGGAAACCTATTTTGTGGTGTATAGTTTTTCTGTTAGCGGTTTACTGTTTTAGTTCAAACTGTGACGGTAATCCAATGCCACGGTTTCCTGAAATTCATTCACATTGTCGGAGTAGACAGGGACTGAGGATTTCAGGAATCCAGACTCAGTGATTCTAATAATCCCATTTCCTATGAACAGCTAAAGGCCTTTGTAGAGCAATAAATGAGAATATTTTTTGTATAATCATTTAATAAAATAGACAATTAAAGCACACATGATCCAGTCCAACCGATCTGTATCGTTGTACTGCAGGAGATCTTCTCAGTCTGCTGGTGCCTGGGGTCCAGTTCACAGGGGCAGGCCAGTTGTCAGCGAGCGAGACAGGTTCAGTTTAGACGGCCGAGTTGAGTTCATTAGCGGTGCAGCTGTTGCATAGAAAGCAGGGGGCCGGAGAGCTCCTCAACAGGTGATGGACGTGTGTCTCACAGCCTGCTTCACGACCCAAGAGCATGTGGCCTACTAGAACCACTTGGCCTAAGAGGACACATGTCAAGTGGGTCTGATAAATGTTTGGCATAAGCAAACAAAACATTTGATATTTTTGTTTTGCATGCAGGACCTGACCCCAGATTGCACTCGTATAGCTCTGGTTGCGGTAACCTCTAATCTTCAGCAACCAAAACATTCTTTCAGGATTAAGATCTAATTCCTCTGTCAGAATAGAGTGATGTTTGTTGAGAAGGAGGAGCGTTTTGTTTTAATGTGATCTGTATCAGCCTCCCCGGGTGTTAAAATGGTGTCTGGAGATGAATTGTACTGCTCTCTTCTCGCTTTCATAAAACAGGAGGGCTCTTGAGGACAGTCGGTGCGTAGTGCCATTAGCTCTTATTTATTAGCAGCAGTCTGGTGCTTTAATAGCATTTCTGTTCTCTGTGCATTGGGAGACTGCTGGCCTAAAACGGTAATGGTGCTGTATTTCTGTCTGGCTGCCAAGCAAAGATCTCATTCTGTTAGTCTTTCTGGAACAACGCACAAGCCTCTTTTTAACTTCTAAAATATTATAATATTACGTAGCCAGAAAGCTGTGTGAAGGTCTTTTGATCAGAAAATTCCTCTTTTGTCCTTGGAAAGCCGTGGTGGTAGTGGAATTCTGACCATGTGGGTGGTTAACATCGAGCCGAAGAGCAGTAACCATAAAAGAAGGCTGTTTGATTAGATGGGGGTCGAGAGGGTGACTACTCTCGGCCTGCTCGCGCTGCTGATAGTCATTTTTGACACTGCTGACTCGTACCACATTCCAAGCATTGAATGACTGCAGTATGCTAACACATGACCTCATCCAACTCTGTGTCATGTACTTCCTGGTATCTGAAGTGGTCTGGTAATTAGTGCTGCTTGCTAAGGCAAGCATCAATATTAGTGTTGCTCCTCACCCTGAGTATTAGATTTTGGCGTGGTACTCATCCCACACTGTTATATGGATGTTAATGAATATGAATTGTAACTTTCACCGAAGACCATAAAATGTGTCAAAAGATTCAGTGGACTGCATTGAAGAGTTATAATAATAGTTTAGCCATAATAGTTTACCCCAAAAATTATGGATTTGATGAATATCTGGTTGGGGGAATTAAATAAAATGGCAATACATCCTCACTTTAAAGGGTTAGTTCACCCAAAAATGAAATTTCTGTCATTAATTACTCAACCTCATGTTGTCCCAAACCTGTAAGACCTTCGTTCATCTTCGGAACACAAATTAAGATATTTTTTATGAAATCCGAGAGCTTTCTGACCCTCCATAGACAGCAATGCAACTGAAACGTTCAAGGCCCAGAAAGGTAGTAAGGACATCGTTATAATAGTCCATGTAACATCAGTGGTTCAATTGTAATGTTATCAAGCTACAAGAATACTATTTGTGTGCAAAGAAAACAAAAATAACAACTTTATTCAACAATTTCTTCTCTTCCGTGTTGCGTTCACGAGAGAACCATGACTCATGCGTGTGCATTCCTCTGCTTGTAAACAAGAAGCAGCACATCCGTGTTCTATGTCAGAACACCGGCTCCTCCGTCAGCAGCATCGCACAAATGCGTCATGGTACACCCAAGAGTGTCAGCAAAATATATGAGAAAAAAAAGGTGTACAATTTACTTAGAATCAATGTTCAATTAGAAATTGCTAGTAAATTTCCCAAATAATTACAAAAAAATGACAAGTAAAACATTGAATTAAACATGAAATTGTAAAAAGACAGAAATAGTATTTTCTCATAAAGCCTGCTCCAATAATCTTTGCTTTATTTACAGTTTAGATTATTTATTTTTTTTACCGTGTATGTGCGTTCAATTGATTTTGGTGAAGCACAATGTAATATTTAGGAAATATTACAATATTACAATTAGGGGTGGGCGAGGTAGCCTCAAAATTATATCACAATATTTCAAGAATATTTGCGATAACGATATTTATGACGATATAGAAAAAAAAAATGGAACAACGTTATATTGGTGATTGCAGCTGGCAGGCAGCAGCATTTAGTAGTGCAAACAAATTGAAGGGCATTTTCCAACCTTTTCCAATGAGCTACTGTCATTGATGACAAACTACCTAATTCGAAGTGTAAATCTATTGTCATAAGGTGGCAGCAGCAGCTGTGTGTTCGACTTGAAGCAGACCGATCCGTGTATGACGTCAAAATACCGCGAGAGTGACTTACCCCTTATTTACCCCTAATTTACACTGCACGCGTCTGCGGTGCGTTACAGCTCCAACGCGGCCACTCTAGTCAATGCTTGTGTTTACACCAGCGGCGCCACGGCACGTTTCAGAAGCGGATCTCCATCTCTCAGATAGGTGCCTCGCCTATTTTTGACGGTAAGAGTGTGCGCTCGAATATGCTCTAGAACTGCTCTCGCGATACTTTGATGTCATACACCGATCAGTCTGCGTAGCGCTGCTGTTGTTGTGCGCGCTAGGGAACGTATATCCGCCATCGCGTCGCTATATCATTGATATCGCGATATGACACTTTTTTATCATGTAAAAATTTATACCGGTATTATCGTGGACGGTATGATATGGCACACCCCTAATTACAATATTTTCATTTTTAGGTGAACTTTACTTTTAATAAAGGGGCCAGAATATCATAGGCTGCATCCAAAATTGCTTCAAAAAAATTCCACTATTCTGTCATTCTGTCATTAGTTTAGTCTACTTAAATGGAGTGAATGAAAACAAGTGAGCGATTTTGAACATTGAGTTCGCTGGGAAGGGTTGTGTATGCCATTTTTTGCCAAGCTGTGGTAATTCATTCAGCATGACTCCCACAGAGCATGGTTTCAGAAACTGCTACAAATGGCTATCCCCTCAAATAGTGCACTATATAACGGTATAGGGGGCAAATTCAGACAGCAATAGAGATTTAGGGATGGGACTTGGGCCAGTAGGAAACCACATAGCAACACATTAAAGACTTGCCCTAGCCACTACCCACAACACCTTACAATATAAAATCTAGTTTCTGTTTGTAAACGTTTCTCAGTATGGTTCACCTGCGAGGAGTAACTTTAAGCGAAAGACCACCATATGGAATTGCTTCGCTGCTGCTCTAAAGACATCAGATGGAAATTAATAGATGTATGAGCTCATGCATAAGATAGTTTTACTGCATTAATGGAGTCACCAAGTTACTTGTGATGAATGAGGTCAAATAGTTAATTTTAACTGTGGTCCATGACTGATTGGTTTTCTTGGCCAGCCAACTGAATGGTACTCCACTTCAGCCTGTTACGCTACTGA